ATTTGTGATACTTCCTTTCATGCAAAGAAATATCTGTTGCAAAGAGGACTTCATATGTTTTGTTTTCTGTGCTCCGTTTTACTTTTAAAAATTACCTCATGGCAACCCCTCCTTGGGTTTCCAAGTTAGTATCTCTATGAAAGTAGATTGCCCAGTCTTCCTTCCAAGGAGTGGCTGGTAGGCTTGAACCGCCAGCCTTCTGGGTAGCAGTCAAATGCTTTAGGCACTACACCACCAGAGCTAGATCCTTTAAAAATGACAGAGGACCCCAAAGAGGTTTTGGTTATTTGGATTATATCTATTATTGTTACCTCATTAGAAAGTAAAACAACTTTTAAATAATATTTTAAAATATTAGCAATTTAGTTATTTTAAATAGCAATAATAAATCCATTTTTATGTTATCATAAATATAAATAACACATTTTTATAAAAAACAACTCTTTACAAAAGAAATATTTCAAGAAAAATGGTATTGTTTCACATCTTTGTAAGCCTTCTTAATGTCTCATAAAATGAAAGATAGCTACATTCTCATACATTCTTCTGAATTCATTCAGTTGCAATATCACATTCATGTAGTCTATAAAACACTTCACTGTCCACATATAAGATTACCAAAGTTAAAATGGAAAATAACATTTAGAAATATGGTGTACATAATTTTCCTTCATAGACCATCCCCCTCCCCCGCCAGACAACACTGAGAAGCATTTCATGAGAGTAATAATCTGGCTTCTCTCTGCCCCCTCACTTACCATATTGGTGAGAAATAGAGCATGTATAAACACTCCTATTTTCTGTCTCTTTTTTCTCTGGGGAATATAAGAAAAACATACTTGTATATTCTGTTCTGCATCTTCCATGTCATAAGTATTGTTGGGATAAGAAACTTGTTTGGGAAGGTTTTGGTTATTGAACAATGTCAGTGGATTGGTGAGTAACTCTCATTCTAGGGTTTAGTATTAGGAAGTCCATTGTTACTCCAGACCTAAGTCACATCATCCAGTCCAGCTTTGATTAGCAATAAAGCTGATATCTCAGTCTCAATTGGCCTGAATTCATGTCAAAATTGGTTCTAAACTGAGGCAGAGGTGTTATTCAACTTAAAAATAGTGGTATTCTGATGATGATCAAAATAAGGATGAAATTACTAACAATAATGTTTAGTAAATATGTCTTGAAAAGATAAAAGAACAAGATTGAAATTTTAGCAGTGAATTTCTCAGATATGTTTGATATAATCTAATTTCTGGGCAATACCTTGAAGTGTTTCTGTAATTACTTCACTATGGGATACACTATATGTGAATATACAGAAATTGTATAGTGATAATCTTTTGAACATTACTGTGTGATCATAATGTTTATTATAGTCGTTTGGTACTTCTACTGTCAACATGTTATGTGAGTTACTATTTTCTCCGGAAATCAAGAAATGCAGCATGGAAAATTGAAAGGATAACATATTCCATTTTCAGAAAAGTAGGTCAGATGTAATTCACAGATTCTAATATATGTCTGACTTACCAGCTAACTTTGGGCAGAAATAGTACAGAGAGAAATGAATAGAAGTGTAGAGGTTGACAAAAAAGTTCCAGCAAGGGAAGATATAGATAATACAAGGAAACATACATTGTAAAGAGGACTGGCAAGAAGGGTGAAAGTTATGTAAACTATAATCCTTACCAAAGCTGATAAAATTACAGGGAAGAGAGCTGACATCAAATGATTTCTTAGAACTGATTTTATTTGAGAGGTAGGCAGTGGGGTTAAAGATAAGCCATACTTTGTGAAGAAATAACCCCTCCCTGTGGGGAAGCCTAGAAAGCTACCATGGCCTTCCCTTCTTGGAGCTTTCTGCAAAGTAGGTGATTTAAGAAATTCTATCTCATTCAAAAATGAGTACT